TTCCAATTTAATTCCTGTCATTACAGATTAGTTTGCCATTTTTAGAATTTTATATAGTTGGAATCATGTAGTATGTACTAATTTTAGTCTAGCTTATTTTATTTGGAATGGTTATTTTGAGATTCATCTATGTTAAAGAAGGTATCACTAACTTAACATGTTATTACTAGGTAGTATTCCATTACACGGACATACAATTTGTTTATTCTTCCTCTGCTGAAGGACATATGGATCATTTCCAGTTTGGGACTATTACAAATGAAGCTACTATGAACATTTGTATACAAGTCTTCCTGAGGACACTTTTTTCCTTTCTCTTGGGTAAATATCTATGAATGGAATAGCTGGGTCATATGATAGGTACACATTTAACTTAAAAAAATCCCTGTTTTACAAAGTAATTGTACTGTTTTATTAGCAACAATGTGAGAGTTTATTTCTGTACATTCCTGCCTACATTTGGTATAGTCTGTCTTTTATTTCAGCCATTCTAAAGGGTATGCATTAGTATTGCATTTCATTTAAATTTGCCTGATAACTAATGATTTTGGATATTTGTCTTTTATATACTTATTGCTATGGGGATATAATCTTAGATTAGTGAATACAAGTTTTTTGTTTGATATACATGTTGCAAATATTTTACTCCCTATGGCTTGACTTTTCATTTTCTTAATGCCCTCTACTGATGAGCGAAAATGTTTAATGTCCAATGTACTGATTTTTGCTTTATGGTTTGTGCTTTGGGTGCTCTAAGAAACCTCCACATACCTCAAGGTAACAAAGATAGTTTTCCTATTTTTTTTTTTTTTAAAGAGAGAGTGAGAGGAGAGTGAGAGAGAGTGAGAGAATTTTTATTATTTATTTTCTAGTTCTCGGCGGACACAACATCTTTGTTGGTATGTGGTGCTGAGGATCGAACCCTGGCCGCATGCACGCCAGGCGAGTGCGCTACCGCTTGAGCCACATCCCCAGCCCCTAGTTTTCCTATTTTCTTCTAGAATCTATCTTCTATAGATTTTGCATTTCAATCTGAGTTGTTTCAAGTTAACTTTTGCATATAGTCTGAAATAAGGGATGACATCGACTTTTCTCCATACCAATCCTACAAAATTTGTCAAAAAGACTTTCCTTTCCCAATTGAATTGCCTTAGCACCTTTGTTGAAATCTAACTGAATATATATATATGTATATATACACTCTCTACTCTGTTTGATCTATTTAGTTCTTTGGTAATATCAACTACCTTGATTTGTAGTTAGTTAATTTTATATTAAGTCCTGAAATGAGATAGGGTTAAGTCTTCCAAATTTATCTTTTTAAAAACTACATTGG